CCGCTCAAGGGTTTCGTGCAAAGGTTCGTCACACACGTGTGAAAATTGAACTTCAGCGCGTGCCCAGTAGATGACGGCATGATGACGTGACAGAAAGTCCCACCCGAGGATAACGTCATGCAAGCACACCGAAAGGACGATGAAACTCGACAACGTACATAGAGCCTTGGATGAATATGCGGGCTGTACAGGTACAGAGGCCCGCGTGACATTAGGACTTCTAGTGTAACGTGAGATAGGGTGAACCCCACGCCCTGCGCGGCCGGAGGGAATCCCGCATGCTGGAACCCAATAAAGTTTATTCTCTCTCTCTCTGTACAGGTACAGAGAGGTCGAACTGGTTGTGCGCTAATCGTACGAAGCGATAGTCCAGAGAGCGGCGTGGTCACTTTGCGTAGGGAGCGGCAGAGCTGGGCGGCTATAACAGAAATGGCAGCACCTGTGTCGACGAGGGCAAAGGTAGAAACACCATCGACAGATATGGCTATGATGTTAGCAGGTGAAGTGCGAGGACTTGAGCATTTCGACGATGGTGCAGTTCTTGCCTCTGGACCTGTAGCGTTCAGTCTTCCCGGTTGAAGGAAGCGGGTCGGGGACGCATTGGGGACAGTGATCGCCTGCGAGGAGATAGGGAGCGCAGAGAGTGAGTCTGAGATGGGGGCTCGGGTGACCGAGACTCAGGAAGGTTTGTGTAGCCATACTCCGGTGAGGAATAGGGAGCAGGTAAGTGTATGGGCTGTGGGTCATACGATAACGGCCGAGTAGCGTCGTGGAGTAGTTGGAAGCGACGGCGACAATATCGTGCCACGTGTCCTGGAGTACCGCACGCGTAGCAGATCGGTCGATTATCAGGAGTGCGCCAGGAATTGCTTACTCGTGGTGTGGCCCAATGTGTCGAAAAAGGGGCGAAGTGGGGAGCAACTGAAGACATGGGTGACAAATTCTGCTGGCGGGGTCAGCTGCGTCCCACCTAGGCATACATAAGAGGCACGACCACGAGCTGCATAGCTGGCAGATGGGCAACAGGCATGGCCACAGGCTGCTGCTGGGCAGCGACGGGAACAGCCTGAGCTACCTCTTCGACAATAACATCGCCGAGTGGTGAGGGCAGACGAGAGGACGGCGGCTGCTGCGTGAAGGGAATAAACGACAGTTGCCGAGCTACTTCTTCACGCCCAAAGTCTTTATTCTCTTGCAGGGTTGGTGAGTGATCGGGAACAGAAGTAAGACTGGAGAGCGAGTCAGCGTGTGAGGAAAATGGCCAAGTCAGGGTGCGCTGCTTCCTCAACTCGTCGAAACTTTGACACAAAGTGACAAGTTCCGCAACGGTGGCAGGATTATGGGCCAGGAGCATCTGAAATGCGCCGTCATTTATCTCTTTGAGGATGTGCTGAATCTTCTCCGACTCGGGCACGGCGGTGTTCACACGGTTGCAAAGACCAATAATGTCTTCGATGTAACTGGTGAACGATTCCGTTGGCATCTGTGCACAAGTCCGCAAGCGTTGTTCGGCTCTGGACTTGCAGACAGCGGGTCGGCCAAAAACGTCAGCAAACGACGTTTTGAAGATGGACCACATCGTAATGTCGTTTTTGTGGTTATTATAGCACGTTTCGGCCACGTCAGCGAGGTAAAAGATGATGTTAGTCAACTTGTCCGCGTCATCCCACTTGTTGTTTGCGCTCACCAGTTCGTGCTGAGTGAACCAGTCTTCCACGTCGGTCTCACCAGCTCCACTAAAGACTTTGGGCTCTCGCAAGCGAAGAATGCCGGGGTTGCTGGAGGATGGAGTGGAAGAGCTAGGTTGCGCGTTGTTGGTGGCCATGATAGGAGGTAGCATTTGGTTGCGCAGCTCCAGGTTTAGGCAACGGGGAATGGCAGCACCCAGGTTCAGGCGACGGGGAATGTCAGCACCTTCCACCATTTGAAAAGGGGTTTATTGGCGTGTGTTGCGACGGGGGCCCTACGACGAAAATATGATCGGGACAGAGCAACGGTCAAGCAGATGCCAGCGACGATCAGCACGAGGCGAGCGAGAGAAGCCCAGGACCCAGTACCAAGCGGTGGCAATGTTGCTTGCCAACGATGCATTTTCTCCTTCACAGATAAAGAATTATTACTTCTCCAGCTTTGTTTAGTCAGTCTGAAAAAACCATTGCAGTCGAGCAGAAAAGGTGGTCTGTTCTAGTAACACTGGCACGCCGGTGTTGTGAAATGAACTGCAGTGGCTCTTATCATCCCAAAGATGCTTCTAAAACAAAGTTAATGATCATAAGGCATGCTTCAGAAAAGAACAGAGAATCCCAGCTGTCTTTCGGTCATGTTTAGGTGTTCTGTGTTGTATATGCGATATGGGGGCCAGCATGGACGCAGGTGAAGTGGAATGTAATATCAAAATCTTCTTTAACGTAGAACCCCCGGTGAATACTGGTGTGCACTTCACGCATGACGACTCACGCAACGTTACTAGATTACGTTGGCCTTATGGTTATAATTAGAAAATTCCTTTAAGTCAATCACGATGCTATTCGCTGAAGACCGTGTTTTTTATTCTGATGATTGGAGTCAAATGCAGTGCTCGCATTTCTTTGCCGTAGGCAGGTAGGTAGAAAAGCAGGCGAATGCCCCGCCGCACACCTCTTTGAACGCATGATAAAAAACAAACAAAAATTACTCTCTGGCACCACTTAAAGCTGAATCAAGCGTGTAAAATACAATTTCAAGTTATAAATGTTTGTGTTTAGACAAAGTGAGTGCACCTGTGTGGATTTCTTGTCCTGCCAGTAGATTGAACCAAATAGCTGTTGGGCGACGCTAGCCGTCATTCTTTGTCGACTTTCAACATCAAATAAAAGTAATTTTTTTTTTCATAGTACAAAAGCATGCTTATTGCCACCAATGCGATGTTGCCACAATCAAAACGAATCTTTAAAGCGGTAGACAGCCCTTTTAAATGTCACACCAATCTTGACTTGATCAAGTTTCGAAAAGGTGTGCAAAATTTGAATTGAAGCATGTTTGTTTTTTTTTCAATTTAAATTAAAAGACTTTTCATTTAGGACTGCAAAATATTCGTTCATGCAACCTCTGTGTTGTAGTGCCAGCCCAGCCACGGAATCCTGCAGAGTGAAAAGTATAAAAATGTGTCTGCACATTGGTCATCTGGTAGCAAGGTGAACAGACATTACTACACCATTCCTGGAAGCCCTTTAACTCATGAACAATCATGTTTCAGTAAGAAATATTATAGTTTAGAAACAGCCTACCCAAGCACTTTGCATACCTAGAACTGTACACAGTGCTTGCATTCTTCAGTGCTTATTCTGCTTTTTCAATCAATTTTTTTTTGTAACCTTGCAGGTTTACTTGTCCCAACTTTAGTTTATCCTATTTTTGAAGCTCCTTAGCACTAAAAGAGGCCCTGCAACACTTTTTGGGCATAGTCAGAAAACCCTGCTGATCGGTAGTCGATGATCTAGAGGACACGCGAGCTGCATGCAGCCTGAAATTCACAATTAATTCTCAGAGTCACTTAGAAAACATTCCCTCTTCTCTCTAAAAATGATGCCATATACCCAGATTACTGCACCATATATATTCAAGATCAGCGCCATTGGCAGATTTGAGCATCGCAAGCTACAAAACTTTTGTGGCTGCCACGGGATGCTGCCACATGCCACACATTTGAAAAAAAAGTAGACAAGGGCTCAAGTTCATAGTGCATGCTGACAAAAGATCTTCTTGGGCTTTTTTGATGCCCTTCCCTGTGTAGTTTTCTGAATGCTTACTGGTACGAAATGAGAGAGAAAGCACTCGAAGCATTCGACAAATCTATAGAACTCTAGTCACACTTGACGGATTCTAAAAAGTTTTGCGGCATATGATTCGTGAAATGTCACGAGATAATAGTGGAACTATTCCATTATCGCTTAACCCCTTGAGCCCTCAACTTTTTTCAGTTTCCGGAGCAAGACTACCTGTTTTTGTTTATTGGTGATTCTGCATCTGATTGTACTAAAAACCAGCTAGTTGATGTTAAAAAATATTTGTACCACATATATAGCTAAATAAACACAATGAGAAGCTCACTTTTGGACAATACATGGGAAACTAGCTACCTGCTACAAATAAAAATATAAACCTTATAAATAAAACAGTTGCAGATGCCACATTTTTTTTTTTTTGCTTGAGTAGGCTATGTGTCTTCGGGTTATTTCACACAGGAACATTTCGGAATGCGTGGAAAATTTCAAAACAAAGAATGATGCAAAGCGACTTCAACAAGGAGCACTTGTGATGTTCACTTTCGAGCTGCCTCCATCAACATCGTAACGGCAACTCAGTTCACTGCTATTGCTGCCTTTGCTTCTGGATGCAAAATAAAGATCTGTATGCGAATCATCATCATCACTCGAAGCAGATAAAACGAAAAGCTCCTTTTTCTTGACGGGCCAGCTACGCCCAAGTTGTCATTTCTGCATGCCATCTTTCCCTACAAATACCGTGATCCTTCTGCCGGAGAAGAACTAAATCGTCAAGAAAATGCTGCCATCTAGTAGATGACACACAATCTTAGTCATAGACAAGTGCTTCACGTCCTGAACACTACAGGGGAGTACCTATTCCACTAGTACCAGGTCTACTCATCCAAAGCAGTTCGGCGACAGTTGGGGCAAGTCAAGCTCTGCTCGTCCAAAGCACTTAAGATGTCAAGAAAGTGTTGCTAAGGCCCTTCAGTGGAAGGACAAAATGGTTACAGAGTAAAATGTTGGGGGAGCTAACTTCACTGAAGCAGCATTGCAGACACTTCCCAGGCTTGAAGATGCACCTCTATACTGCATTATGTGACCATAGCCAATAATTAGAAATCATGTTGCGAAGAATTTCACTTAGTATCATCTCAAATTTTCAGCTCCAGCCCACTACTTCTTGGCATGATGTAATTGAAACTGCTAGCGGATTGCTAGCAAGAGATTTAAGAAAAGAAGAACTGTGCTTACCCGAGATACATGTGCCTCCTTGACACTGAGATTTGGTATGCCCTTAGGCAGCTGGAAACCCTGGTATTCAGTTGAGAAGATTGTTCGGCCTGTGGTTGGACTGCGGACTCTAAATTCCTTGACATTGCTCACTACAGTCCAGTCAGGGCCAACTTCCAGGCTTGGTCCAGCTGTGTCAGACGCTTGCCGGCTTGCTTGCTTGTCCCCTGAAGTCCTCACAACAACCTGAATCACAAAGCGAAGAAAACGTGGCAGTGAAAAATTTGGCGAGAGAAAAATATTTTAACACAATTCATTTACTGTACAAACTTATGTAATGGCCACATACTGGTAAAAGCAGCAGCCCTAACTTTGTAAATAGTCTTCCCCCCCTCCAAAAAATACACTTAAAACTCCTCAGTTTTAACCCTTCATTCATACTCTTCATTATTAATAAAATGTGATGCGATTCGAAAAAAAAAAAAAAACTGTGCTAATCTGTAGCAAAGGATAATGAAATTTTTGCTGCATATATTTCCTTTATGCTGATTTTAAATATGTAATTTGTTTTATAGTAGGTTGCAAAGTTTTTGTTTTATGCCACAATAATGTGTAAAGTATAGCTATTTTTGACAAACATTTTCATGCCACTAAACTTACATAGTTCTGAGCCATTAGTGGCTCATATTGCTCTAAATTACCTGTAGAATGCAAATAACTATTAAGAAAGTGCATAGAAAACATTTTAATGGTAAAAAATATAATGTGAATATTCTGAGAATTCTCAGCCCATACTAATCGTTTATTTTAGTTTTATACAGGCAGTATCAAGTTTTAAAAGATATACTTGCACCCTTCCCCTGTTAAGAGATATGTAGGCAAAAGTTCATCCTCATTGGGCAATCAGAAGTTCCAAAAATATCATGTACAAACTCAAGAAGTTGTCGAAAAATGTATCTTGAGAAAAACACCTGTTAAAGGTATAAATGAAAGCTCATCTATGCGCAAAACATGTTTTTTTAGATGACTTCTTCTATCATGAGAGATTGGCAATCACGGTTATCTTGAGCATGTGGCTTTAATGAACTCTTCTGATGAAATGCTATGGCAAGCAGTGAAGTGACAATTTCAAGAATGCTTTAGTCAATGAGTACTTCTTAGTTTTTAGTAGCCACAATATGCTTTTTGAAAAAATTTCTAATGTACTTCTATCTTAATTACAATTTTCAGTTATTTGTAGAGAACATACAGAAGCTAAACTTGTAAAAATAAATAAAAGCAAAAACATGTAACCTTGGAAACTCGCATCTTAGGTTAGAAGGTTAGAAGTTTTACCTGTTGTGGGGTGTGAGAATTCCGAAGCTATTTTTTTTTTCTTTTGGAACACCCAACCGGATGGTCAGAAGTTTGAGAAGAATGAGAACTCTGTGAATCGAAGGTTATCTCACAAGAAAGCACTCAGAAAAAAAAGGTGCACGGGGGAGTGCCTTTAAAGGCTAGCACAATACGCTCCTGGAGATAGAAGACTCACTTCTGCAGTATGTAACTAAAAAGCTGAGCTATGGCTATTCTATTTAAACTTAGATGCAGCATGCGAAAGTGTTCGGCATTGCATGAAATAAAGCGATTCCAATTAGAGTGTTCGAAGCCAAAAATAGATGGATTTGGCACTTCATGGAGTGAAACAACCTTTCTCTCCACTGCCGCACAGTGACTGTCTCGAAGCGAAAATTTAAAAGAGCCTTACTTCTTTTTTTCTCTCTTCCCTCAGTACAAGTGCGTACTGCAGTTCAATAGCGACTAGCAGTGTAGAAAATATCAACGAAAAAAAAATGATGTTTTGTTTCTGCAACACAAATACTCCAACACAAATACTGATACCTCCAACACAAATACTGATACTCAGATGGTGCTGTTAAAAATAAAGTGTAATGGATGAAGCTTCTCTGCGAACTGCTGACATTCCCACCATGTGTCAGTTGCACAGCATTTGAAATGTATGACACAAGTAACAGCTTGATATTGTAGTGACTGCTGTAGTGCTCACACTCAGCAAAAAGCTCTTATCATGTTTTGAGGTGCCTTCATTTTATGTGTCTCATGCACACAAGCGAACCAAAAAGTGGTATTTTGAACAGAGCTAGGGACAGCAGTCTGTTGCACTTAGGTTTCCATGCCCAACTTATACTTTTGAGCGGCCCACCATGTGCAATAATGTGCCGTTTGTCATCAGCAATAGCGAAGTGGGCGTTCCAATACTTAAAGGGACAGCATTGCCCATTCTAATTCATTTTCAAGAACTATCACTGTGAATCGCCATGCTTGACATTTTCCACTATTTGCCATGCACTTGGGTGTTCCCAATCATACTGCTCATGATAGAACACATCAAAACTTGTAATGACAAAAAGCAATACTATTCTATTATACACAGTGTACCACAAGCCTGTATCTATGTGACACCTTTGCTGAAAATCTCCTTTGCTAACGTTAAAGAAAACCAATTGCTACTATAATCATAAAAGGAGCAGATACTTACCGGTTGGGATTCACCAATTATATGCAGATCTGTGTCCTTGAAGCCTCCAATGACACCCTTGTGTGGAATGACTGTCCCGAGGTCGGCATTGTTTAGAAACCTCAACAGTTGGCCGCTGGGAAGGAATTCAAGGCTTTCCATGCCATATCCAATACGCAGAACACCCAGTAGCATCACAGTCACCTGAAAAATGATACAAACTATGACAAATGTTTTGCAAGCTATAGTTTGTAATGACTACTGAGGGATGCAAAATTCAGCCATGATAAGCAGAGTGTGGAGTGGTGTGATAAAATCGGGAAACATGCAGGCATAAAATCTGATCAGCTTGGGGGGAGAGGCTAAAATGGTGACCACTGCTCATGGATTTGTCCTGAAGTTGACATAAATAGCCTGCTGCTGACGATTACAGTTGTTTTAAGAATGAAAAGCATTCATTCTCAATTGTACTACATGAATAGTTATCAAAAGGAATGAACAACTCAAGTAACTAACAATTTGGATAAAAATATTAAGCTGCTTAGCAATGTGCTTCATGAGCATACAGAGATGGTCAGACAGAAAGCACTTTTAAAGAAATACCAATATAAAAATATTACATATTGCTTCTTCAGTTGCAATTAATAGCCAACAACCCACTAATTGTGACTGGATTATTGTCTTGAGACGTTTTCATAGTACCAGTGGCACTTTCAGTTTCAGACAATGCCAAAAGAGGCAGAAACCAGTACAGTGTTTATGCAAACACAGTTGGCCACTTGAGAACACTAAACTGATGCATCAGTCAGGTGCTGTGTATGGCACTGCTTCATCACTGGGCTGTTATAAACGTGCATGACCCACAAAAATACAATGCCTAGGCAATGACGCCAGCCTTTGTACTGCCATGGAAGTCCATACAGAAAGTGTTTCTTTTTTCATTAGAAAACTGTGCTAGAAGAGAGTACTCACAGGAGCATGGAAACCATCTCAAACTCACGGTGCAGGTAGCTGTTCACATCGGGAGCAAATTGGTAGGGGTGAAAGAAATGCGACTTGGTTTCTTCACAAATGTATTTTTTTCATTATTGATTAGTCTCTTTTGCCACTGTTTTACATGTACGATCACATGTAAACAACCAGCCCAAAGACCCACATTTGTGCTTTCTTCAAAATCATGCTAATTAATAGTTTTGTGTGCAATACACTTCGCCAATGGACAGACTACATATGAATCATGCTTATTAGTACACGAAAAATGCAGCATAAGATGCATTTCACGTTTTATTAGATTAATTACTCCTTTTTTTATTGCATGCGAGGACCTTGATGTTGACATTGGAAAGATTATCATTTGGAAACTCCCAACTGTAAAGGAAAGAAGGATGACGAAGGACACCACATTAAGTACACCTGTGCGGAACGGTACACGAAACTCCGAGGGTTCAGCGTAGTGAGGAACAGCGCGGGCAGAAGGCAAGGATTCGCGTGCGTGCAATCAGTGCCAAACAACAGGCAAGGAAAGCTGGTAAGACAAGCAGCGTAAGAGATGTTCACATAGAAGGCCACCAGAAACAGGACAACCAGCACGAAGCCAGATGTGCGCACATCACTGCACCACGTACGACGCCAAAGGGGTAGCACAAAATGCTCGACATGCAAGCGCGCTAAACATCTTTCAGAAAAGGGAAAATCGTGCAAGTAGCGGCAGAGCTTACCGCAAGGTTGGCGAGAGAAACCACGAAGAGACCCACCACCAAGCCATAGAAGAGAAACGCTTTCCGACCCCGCAAACCAGTTTTGTGCAGCGAGTTCTCAAATATGGGAACATACCCGGCAGAGAAGTTTCCATTGTGCCGTTTGTTTATCTCCTGCTTTAGCATAGCTTTTTCACGCATTGACAGCGTGCTTCGGGAGGCCTGAAAAGAAACAAGAATTAGGTGCGTCTTTAAGGTCAACGGTATCTTGTCCTGCGATCGCTTTTACGTATGAAAGATAAAAAAAAAAAGATGCATACACCGATGCATGCGAATTACACGTTGAAAATATTGACATATCAATGCATATGAACTAAGCACTGCCATGAATTACCATAACTCCTAATTCTGTGCGCGTCAAACTACATTGAGACAATGGAGGCTGAAAAGCGGTTATTTTCGGCATGCGACAAAAATGGATCAAACGTTATAACGTAAATTTCGAACACAGTGCCGCAAAAGCTGCTCACGTGAAAGGTATCGGTCGCGCACCTATGCTGTTGCGCTATGCAAACAAGTACTGCATACAACAAACGTAGCATTAGTTCATGCAATCAATTAAGTTTGCAAGAAAACCACTTAATCTAGGTCATCGTGTTCGGTGTTAAAATTGCGAAAATACGCACGCTAACCTCCATCGCTGGAACAGCAGCAACGGCAGCCATTGGAAAACCTCAGCCGAACTTGGATTGCCTTGTCTTGACCGGTAAACACCTATCTTGACTTCTGATTCAGTTTTCATTGGCTCCGTTTTTCGCCACTAAAGACTGAACCTTCGAGTGGCAAAAATTGGTGCATGAATAAAAAATAATACCACGAAACATATCCAAACTAAATATAATCAAAATATTTTACAAACAAACGTACGCAGAAAAAGTATCGAACAGACGATACAACGCACACACAGCAATGGCGGCGATAGTCTGCAGTCGGTGGTTGGCGGGATTTCCGCGTTGTATAAAAATTACCGAGTCAAATGCATATATTAAATCAGAGTTGCTGTAATGTCATGCTTCTGGCAGTCCCCATACAACTGTGCCCACAAGATTCCTGAAACCGCGTAATGTGTGAGAGCGCCGTTTCCACAAATGGTAAGCGTTATTATTATGCAATTAAAGTTTTTCTTTTTCTCACATCTTTAGAACTTAAAGCGCCGATTGCATCCGGCTTCCCACCGCTGAACTAATGTGCGGGTTCAACGTGAACGTCCGGACGTTCTGCTTTCTGTGGTAACCGACTTTTGGCGCTAAGAAAAATACCGGTGGGACGCGCTCGTGCGAAATATGTTCATCGCTGACGTAAGGAACAGTTAGAAACGTAATGAATGCTCTCCGAATGCTTTACGAACAATATCCACGGGTAAAGCTTAGTTGCAAACAAGTGCACAGCAATATACATGATTTACTTGTGCAATTGATTTACTTGTGCACTCCCTCTCCCATAGCGACAGCCGTGGGCGTGCGCGCTTACTATCCTCGCCCCTAGCAACCAGAGCATGTGGTGTGACAGAGTGTAGGAGAGGGTAGGTACAGTGCTTCGCCGATCCTACCCTCGCCGTTCACTCTCTCTTTTTCCTGCGCCACCGCACTCTCCTGTCCGCTCGCGCCTTACTCTCAACCGTTCGCTGGCTGGGCGCCTCTCAAGGCGGCGGCAGAAGTCGGTGAAGGCGAATGCCTGACGGCAACGGTACCCTCTCTCGGCGCAAGAAATGCATTCGCATTTCCTCGCTATTCCCTTCGGGGAGGTGGGGGCATTTTTTTGGTATGCAGTAGCTGACGACGATGAAGAATTAGGCCTGAAGTGGGTATGCGCCACAGTTAATCTTTGATGCAAAACTCGTTACTCAATTCACATTGTGACGCCTGGTTGTTCCTTCGCTGTTCTAAAACACCCTTATTACTCATATTAAGGCGATTCCTTTTCCGACATCAAGCCTGCCTAAGGCAAATTTGCAAACGAGTTTCAAACGCGCCTCTCGTCTTGAAGGAGCGTGACATAACGTCGGGGGTACACGGGGGTTGTGTCTTTACAAGGGCGTTGTCGTGGTCGCTGATGCGCGCGCAACTCAGGCATAACCAGGTGGGTCGTACACCCTTCATACGGCGTTTACTGTTCCAAAGTCACGATAAGATTGCGAGGGACGCCGTAGTTGAGGGTTGCGGAAATTTTAACCGCCCGGGGTTCTGCGCCACCTCAACCTAAGAAAACGGGCCTCAAGCATTTCCGTCTTCATTGTTGAAAATGCGACCGGGATTCAATTCAATGACCTGTGGGTGAGCAGTCGAGCCCCATAACCATTGGACCACCGTGGCGGGTTCACTCGTATGTACTTTGCATGCAAACGTATTTTCTGAAATCAACGTTTTGTAGAATTACGCGAGACTGGATTTAAGAGTTAGCTGCCAGCCTTACTTCTTGTAAGAATATAATATGTTGCTATATCGCACTTATTTATTGGTCATTGCGGCGAAACTGGGATTTTATTTTTTCGAGGATGAAATTCGCGTACCAACTGCCCCTCCAATGACTTTACTGACCCCCGGGGGTCTGCAGACCCGCACTTGCGAACCGCTGCATGATTTAGATATTGCTGTAAATAGTTTACACTTGCTATATGCGTTTAGCCGCCATGACCGTAAGAGACGCTGAACAGGCGATACTTATGAGAGAAAATGAGTTATGAAACAAAATTACGTTCATTAATCGCGTGATCCATGCCGCAGTCACGAAAAAAAAAACTCTTTCGAACAGACCACTCACCGTTCACGAAATGACTATCACAAACACACACGCATACGTACAGCCACCTAAGGCACTGAAATCAAGCGTATATAATGTTATGGCATATATCACGTTATTCGTCCGTGCACCGAAAGCTCGTCTCCACGGACACGTTCTGATATCGGGACTTGATGACGTTGACGAGCCCGGAACAATTGACCCGAAGGTGCGCGAGTGCCTCGGCGGGATGACACTTGAAGGCCTGCTGGAATATCTTGACGCGTCTCATGGGCCAGTTGCAAAGGGCCTTGTTCATGACCCTCGTCTCGTCGTTCCTAACGCACAGGTTTATGCAGCTTCCCACTAAGAAGAGCTGAACTGGCGAGAGCTCGACTGCGGGTAGCACAAAGCTACCCGAACTACCTTTATCGGTCATGAACATCTGGTAGGCCCTGAGCAAAGCGCCAGAACGGAAAAAGCTTTCCGCTGGGTCCTTCAGTTGATAGGTGACGTTGTTGTACGCGTCGTTGTAGCATTTCATGTGCATTCGGAACTTGCGTTCTGTCGGCAGATTCCACGTCTCTGCGGCTCGGTACTTGTTGCTGTAATAACCTTCGTAGTAGATAGCGTTCGTTACCTGCGTCACGAGGTAACCGTAGATCAACGCCGCAGGGAAGTTTTCGGTGCCAAAGAAAGAAGTCATGAAGACGGAAAGAGGTACGAATAGCACGTTGTGGGAATAGACGTGGCGAACAGTAGGCACGATCGACCACACGTCGCGCGGGTAAATGTACCGGTAGGACTTGGCTCTCAGAGTCTGGCTCAGGCTATCCAGCACGCTGACGTACAGGGTCGTGAAGGGAATGGTGCTGTCGATATCCGGCAACCGCGTGTAGGCTTCCTCCACATCCTCGTACCTGAATCGCGACAGGATGCCGACTTCACTGACGAGATTACGAATTCGTGTTTGCATCTTGCTTAAGGTCTTAGCGTCCATCCAGTACAGATCTTCTAGTTGAGCCCTCACGTACCTTTTAGCGTTGACGACGATCTCTTCCCAATCGGAAATGATATCCTTGTCAAATTTTTGGTACATGTAGCGGTCAAGCACCAAGGCGAACAGGCGATACGTTTCGTAGTAGCACACGTCCACCCGAAAAATGTGCTCCGTCACGTTGGTAACCCTGAAGCGTTTAGCAGTTTCCATCATGGTCTTGCGGAGAGCAGGGCTCGTGTGCCGACCGAGCGTCTCTACAATCACCCAGGCCATATAGCTTGACATGGCTGGCAAAGTGCTCTTTTCGTTCATCAAAGATAGAGTTTTCTTTAGAACTGCGAGATCGGAAACCCGAGCGACCACTTTGTTGATGAGCAGTCGTTTCTGCTCTGGATCAAAATAGTTCCCCAAGGCGCGCAAGAGCTGCCAGCCTACTTTAAATGGATCCTGCGAGAGCACCCTCAGCCTCACAACCAGCAGCTCGTCGTCCCCAGTCGTCACCATTCTGATCTCGTCTTCCACGTATGTTATGTTCGAGACTATGCCCACGGGCAGCGTCTGCTGGAACACTTCGCCTAGTACGTCGTTCATGAGGTGTGAGCGAAAGTTCAAGTTAGAGGTGGCAGCGTAGCTCAAATACCACGGGTGGTAGCGGTCTTCTATGGCCAGCCTCAAATTGCTCATGCCGCTGTCGAAGCTCAGGTCGACAAACGGGTGTATGAGGTAGGACAGCTGAAGCTCCACGAGAATCCTGAAGAATTCTTGCGAGTTGGGCAGCACTGTCGGCCAGTTGAATCGCAGGTCGTCGGTCAAGAAGCTTTTGATTTCGTCGATGCTGGAATCTGGTGGTCCAGCAAAGGTAGTCGCGCAAGACTCGTGGAACGAGATGGCCTTGATGATGTTGGGCGGGTGGTTTGTTCCGCTTGGCATGTACAGGGATAGATTAACCAGCGTTATCATGGTAGAGGCGTCCGTCGGATACGTGCTCTCCCATCCGCTGCAGACGAACTCGTAGAAGTCGGAGCAAGGCCGGACGTGCACGTTGATGCTGCTCTCGATGAACTTCGCCGTAGAGCGACATGCTTCCGAGCGGCACACTGAGTCTTGCGGTTTTACGATCTCGGCGAAGAGGACGGATAAAATGCAGTATGCTACTGGCAGAACTGTCATGCCCATTATAGACAGGATTCTGGGAAGATATGGAGCTGAAACGTCTGACATATCGTGCCCAATGTCTGCTGCGGATTCCCTGCGATCCCCTGCCGTGTCTTGCGGCTGTTTCTGTGACTGCTGCTTCTGGTCGTGTTTGGCCGGAGCCCCCTCTTCATCTCCTTGCGCATGCTTCGTCGTCGGCATCGCGAACAAAGGCAAAAAGCTGCGCAGCCTGCAGCAACAAAGGACGCACCATCAGTTGAAGAACAATTTCAAACATTTGCACCGATCGTTTTAACCAGCCGATCAACTGAATTTCAATTATAGCCGAAAAAGACCATAGCGAACACGGGAAATACCATTTCTCTGGACATAATGCACAGACAAGCAAATAAAGCAAGCGTGGTATGAATACAGTTTAAAGAAGATTTTTCTGGAGACTCGACGTCTCCTCCAGGTTCTTATTGGAAATTTGCGATTATCGTTCAATGACAGGTGGAGAGTACGAGAGGGCACGGTGGGGGCTTGGCTTTTCTCTACGCTGCATAACGGGGGCAGAGCCCCTCTAGAGGTGGCCTGGCGTATTTTTTAAGAGCTTGGCTAAAACTCTCACTCACCGCCATTGGACTGTTGCCATCAGACTTTCAAAACTAGGATCACGGGGTAGGGACAAGTAAGGAGCCTGGCGCCGTGGTCATATTGAGATCTATGTGACATGATCACTAAATTGCGGCATTTGCACTCAAAGGTCCCTCCGTACGCTTGGCACGATGGGCTCTGCGGTTCCATAAGAGTACGATACGTGTCATCTACTGCTCAGGCCAGAAGCGCGCAGATGCCGATGCTATTTGGCGTTCGCCTGTTTCTACTATAATAATGCGTGTGCCTCCATTCAAGACATCTTATTTCCACCATCAGTATTCATCGGCATGGCTTTGGAGCAGCGGAAGGAATCGTGGATTGCGTCTTTGATGGTTTACTTTTCTGATGCACTATAGCCGGCCCACCATCTCGAACGCTACACCGACAAGTCTCACTTCGCCATCCGTGATGGAATCCTTTATCGCCGTAACTACCAACCTGACGGCCGCAAGTGGCTTCTCGTACCCATACAACCCCGCGCTTGCACATATGCTGCTTTCCATGCCGATCTGCTTTGCGCACATGCCGGTTTGTATGAAACCGACGCCAGACTACGTCTTCGGCTTTACTGGCGCGGTATTTACACACATCCGATCTTGCGCAGAGTGCCTGCGCCGCAAGCCTGATTCTTGCCACCCTATACTGCACCATTGCAACTGTTACCATACCCAATGCGGCCATTCCACCGGGTTGGAACAAACTTTTACGGTATTCTGATATGCACATCAGCTGGGAATCGCTGGGTTTTTATGGCGATAGGCCATCCCACGAGATATGCAGAAACGGCTGCTCTGCCATCCGCTACGGCACGTGACGTTGCGTCTTTCCTGCTTCTACGTTTTGTTCTGCGTCACGGCGCCCCTCGTGAACTCCTGAGCACGGCCGCTGTATGAAAAACAAACTAACAAAAAACAACCTTGTTTTTATCCAGCGGCTGTGTCCTGAGCGACCGAGGTCGTGTCTTCATCGCGGATGTGATTCAAGAACCTCTCGTTGAATGGTGCGTTATTCACAGCCTTACTACCACATATCATCCGCAAACAAGCGGCTTGACCGAGTGCTTCAACCATACTCTTGGCGATACGCTCTCTATGTATGTCGCTTCCAACCAAACCAACTAGGACCTTTTTCTTCCTTATACGTTACGTACGCTTAACGCTTATAACACGGCACCTTGGGCGCGACAGGCTTTTCGCCCTTCTTTTTATGTATGGTAGAGAGCCATAATCTCCTATCGACACCACTCTTCCCTACCGACCAGACTCGTCCGAGGGCACACCAGTTTCCGAAGCGACACGATATGCGGAAGAATGTCGGCAATCAGTTCGCACCCTTACAACACACTGAGAGAAAGGACGACACCAGTTTCGTCACGACGCTGGATGGCCCCACAACCAGTTTTCGCCCAAAAGAGAGGTCAATGGAATACGGGAAATTTTCAGCCTGTTTATACGTAACTTGAAGTACGTGATGAAGCTGTCCAAGACCAGCCGCAAGCTCAGGACTTACTCTAGAATAACCTGGCATCGAATGAGAAAAAAAATTTAACTTTACAACATGCCGCACCTCGAACTAAATCCAGCCTCTTTACCGAGCTCAGGAATAAATATCTTTTTTTTTCGATTCCTTTTATCTTCGTGGTATCAAGCGTTGACCACCACTCTCTGAGCAATGGCTTTACCTCAACGCAACAAATCAAGTTAAGAACTCGAGAATTAAATTACTGTTTTGCGGGATTTTCACATACCGGAATAGATGATCGCAGGTTGTGCAGAGCTGAGAACAAGACGACTTCTTCGGGAAATGCGGAGTAGGCACGCGTACTCGTAGAGAACAACGTCTTCTTCTAGTTCGAACGAATAATAATGATGCGGATGACAATGATGACGTCCCTAGGCTCATGCACGCAGTGATGAAAATTTCAAAAGGCCGTATATATCCTTGACAAATGCCCGATGAGGAAGTAACAAGTGAACACTTTTTCCAGGTTTGCAGGCTTTTCAATTTCCGCCGTCAGCATAACCATTGAAATTGAAGTGCGGCAATTCAGTCTGCTCTTTACTTCGACTGTGCTGTTGTCACTTGGGGCTTCTGTGTTGGAACTCTGGGGCGCGAATATATGCAGTGCTGAATAGAAATCCATGCTTTAGTAAAATCGATTGAATGTGTACTTTAATCGCTACTACTAATTTTATAGCTTCTGACCCCTCGTCAAAATTATTTTGTTTTGTTTAAAGGTTCGGCAGCACGGGTTTATTTAGTAGTACAAAGTCGGCCGAGTAACTCTTCTATCAATTCGATGTCATAAGTTCGAACGTGAATAAATTAAAAAGAAACGATAGCACCTCATGACCTGTCCGACTCTTTTGAGGACGTAGGGGCATTCCATGCAGGAGCATCATAATCATCATTGCACGTTAGCTCGTTGCTCATGCCTATGCATGATGATAGCAGATTTATTTTTTATTTCTTCGCGGCAATAACTCATTCTTATGGTTTGAACGGAATCTGTAACCGCCCTTACTGAGACAAAACAAATGAAGAGTCATAAACACCGTGCTAATGTAAGCAACAAGCCCTTTTCATCGCAGTTTCTTCATAATGCCCATAGTAACGCGAGTAGCATTAAGCCCGGTTGATTTCCTTTCCCAAGCTTGGCTCTCGGGCTAGTGGCCTCTCATTGAATCATATTAGATCAGATTAGCTAGCTAGCTAGCTAGCTAGATAGATAGATAGATGGATAGATAGATAGATAGATAGATAGATAGATAGATAGATAGATAGATAGATAGATAGATAGATAGATAGATAGATAGATAGATAGATAGATAGATAGATAGACAGACAGGCAGGCAGGCAGGCAAGGCAAGGCAGGGCAAGGCAAGGCAGGCAGGCAGGCAGGCAGGCAGGCAGGCAGGCACGACAAACGAGCGCTCAAAAGAGCGCGCCGCCAAAGTCTCGCGATGAAGCGCCAGAGTGACGCCGCGAGGTCAACGAAAAAAAAAGAAAACAAACATCCAAAAACCCACGGGCGCGCGCCTCTCCCATCGGAAGCGTGGCTTCGCCGACGAACCTCCTCACCCCACATCGGCGGCCGAGCAAGCACTCGAAATTTCTCGATGGAAATGGGCGTGGTGATGCCGGGTGTAGTCATCCGACGCGGACGGCCCTCGTATCGTCTCGACCTTTCCCCCAGCCTTCGCTGCGCATCGCGCCGACGAAACGATGAGAACTTTCTGGAATCTCCCGCGGAAGGTATTTAATCGAGCAGCCGAGACGAGAGATCAGGAGAAGACGGAAGTTAGCGCCAGAGTGCGTAGGGATTCCGCCGTGTACTCGGCGAAGGTTTTGTCCGTAGAGACAAAGCAGGAGAAGAAGATGATTTCCACCTGAAGGGTGACGACCCGAGCTACAGGCAAGAGTGTGTGTGTTTACCGCTATCGAGCGAAGACGCGTGGCAACAGCTGCGTGTGTGAAGCCGACGTGTTTCCGGCGAAGAAGTTTGAAGCTTGGAGAGTGGCCAATTGAAGACGCGAGGTTTCCTGGAAGAAAAACTTCGGCGAGGTTTCCTGGAAGAGAAACTTCGAGGGCCGCGGAACGACAACAACGCTGGACTTTGAGTGAGTGATTCTCGGAAGAGTATCATTCAGACTTTTGTTCCAAGAACTTTGGACTGAATAGATTTTCTATCTCTTTAGTCTTTAAGTGTTTTGGTTGTTCAATGCATGCGACTGCATTGTAGTGTGTATTGTTGTCGGTGTCCGTTGTTTCGAGTGTGGCTGATTGTACTGTGTAGTACGTTGTTTGATTGGTGACATATTGTACTGAACTATTGTGGAGTGTGCATACTTGTGTATTGTTTTCGATCTGCCATTATTGAGAATATAATTTTGTTTGTTTATCAACTCTCGGCTCTGACTTGTTCTTTGGGCCACAGCCGGCGTCCGCTGGCGCGCCAAAAAGGACCACTTTTAAATTCTCCACGCTTTCGTGGTGCGGTTCGGGGGGCCAATATTTTGGCCCTTGGAATTAGCCCGGCGATGGCCCCCCGAATTAACGGGACCCGGGACAATTATTCTGGCGTCCGCGACGAGGACCTTTTGGTGCACAGTGTGTCCAAAGTAGTGAGAAAGAGCCTCGAGTTGTTGATAGTGCTATCGGAACGATTGTGTGTGTTGTTCAGTGTTCTCGTTAACGAGATCAGTGGAGTGTTCCGATAGACTGATTTAGGCAGATACTTTTCGCACGTGGCAAGACTTTATTTGCGAGACACAATGGATCTCGAAAAGTATGTAGCTCTTGGTGAGAAGATGGGTCTTTCTGGCGCCGAAATACGGAAATGGGTAAGCCAGAAGGAGAAAGAGGCGGTGGAGAGAGAAAGGTTGGCAGCTGAGAGAGCCAAGGAAGAAAAGGCAGCTGAGTTGGAACGAGAGAGGTTGGCAGCTGAGAGGGCCAAGGAAGAAAAAGCAGCTGAGTTGGAGAGAGAAAGGCTGGCCGCTGAAAGGGCGAAGGAAGAAAGAGAGCAACAATTGAAGTTGGAGTTGTAGAGAGAAAAGCTCGCA